CAGAAGTGTATGTTTATGGCGTTTTCTTCTTCGAAGAACGCTCACGGAGCGTTCCGGAACACTCTGAGAAGTCCGCGCCCGAGACATCTTCCAGAGCCGCCGGATCTCAGGGTTCTTGCTTTATCCCCACCCGATTCTATCAAGCAGTCGCGAAGCGTCTTGGCTTTCCTATAGGCCCACCAAAGAATGTTCTAATGGATGGCTTGCACGAAATGTTCTTAACAAATTTCTGGCCGAGACTGTCTTGTGTATAACACATCCGGTCAATGCTCTAAGGACACAGTCTTTGTTCATCGAACTTTTTGGGCGTCTGGGAGCATGTCGTGGTAGGCCTGCAGGACTGCCGGGACGGTCGGTCCCTGCTCAATTCGATCTTCGCCCTGCCTTCGTTTTACTTCTCCTCCCTTCGCTCAGGAAAGGAAAAAACACACAGACACAATGAATCCTCGATTCCTCCAAAAATATGGGAAGATATGGCAAGTGGGGGGGGAGACAGAAACCCAGAAAATATAGGAAAATATGGGGAATATGTTTATGTGTACCTGTGTGTATTTATGTGTGTCCGTCCTGCTTTTGCTGGGCCTTTTGGGGTTCTCCCCTCGCACGTGCATCCCGTCGTTGGCTTTTGGCCCGCTGGCAATTATCTCGCTTGGCCCCCCAAGCTTGCTACGCCCTCTCCGGCACGTGTGCACTCCGGCGTCGGCTCTTGGCCCGCTGGCAATTCTCTTGCGTGCTGCCCCATGCTCGATACGACCCGCCCTCTGGAATCGTCCTTGGAGCCGCAGATCAACAAGTATTTATGTGTGTGTGGCAATTATCTTGCGTGCTGCCCCATGCTCGATACGACCCGCTCTCTGGAATCGTCCTTGGAGCCGCAGGTCAAAAAGTATTTATGTGTGTATGTGTGTGTTCTGGGGCTCCTCCCTTCTCTCGTCGGGCCCGGTCGCCGCGGCCGTCCTCGCCGCCGCCGGTCGTCCGATCGCCGTCGGGGCCCCGATCTCGCCCTGGAGACGATGGCGCCCTCGCCCTGCCACCGGCCGGGGCCCAAGAGAGACGGGGCCCCCTCCCCTCCCTCCTCCCTCCCCTCCCTCCTCCCTCCCTCCTCCCTCCTCCCTCCCCTCCCTCCTCCCTCCTCCCTCCTCCCTCCCCTCCCTCCTCCCTCCCCTCCCTCCATGCGAGCGGGCGTCAGTCAGGGCGCTGGATCTCGCAGGAGCCTGCAAGGCCAGGGGTGCACTGACCCGGGCCTGGGGCGCAGGGTCCTGCAGGATGCTGCAGGTCAGTCAGGGCGTCAGTCAGGGCGCCGGATCTTGCAGGATCCTGCAAGGCAAAGGGGTGCACTGACCCGGGCTGGGGCGCAGGGTCCTGCAGGTGCCTGCAGGGCCTCCCTGCCTCTCGGCCTGCACGCCGGGAGAGAGCACGGGCCTCCGCGCCCGCAGGCCGCCTGCTCGGCGGTCCACGCCGAGCGCGGCGAGGGGGGTCACGGTCCCCTACCGTATGACGGAGAGCGACCTCTATACCGAAGACGTAGTCGCCAGGGGAACAGCGCGCTATCTTCTGCGAGGAGAGACCCCATAAAATCGATCGGGGCGGCGATGCCCTCTGGACCTCAGGAGCTTCGGCGAGAGATCAGCACTGCCAACATGCCCCCCGTTCCTGGGCGAGAGCGCCAGCCTCAAGGCGTCTTCGAGGGCTTGCAGCGGGTTCACGGAGTTTTAGAACTCGTCGAAGTCCCACATTCCTCAGAGCCGCGGTCATAAACCCAGCTTCCTTGAAGAAGAACGCTCAGCGTTGGGCCACAGGAGCTGGCCTCTCGCCTGACGGTACCCTCCTCACGGGCAACCGTGGCCTTCGAGGGGCCCGTAAGTCCTGGGAGACGGCCCTTCCGAATTCCAGGAAGGAGGAGGAGGAGGAGGAGGAGGAGGAGGAGGAGGAGGAGGAGGACGAGAGGTATGAGGAGGAGTGGGAGGCGCGGGGAGGTGGAGGATACCAGGCGAGGCGGATATGAGGGGGAGGACGAGGCGGAGGAGGGCAGGAGGAGGAGTGGATGAGGAGGAGGAGGAGCAGGGACGAGGAGGCGAGGAAGAGCAGGGGGTGGGCTGAGGCCGAGGAGGAGGAGGAGGAGGAGGAGGAGGACGGAGGAGGACGGGTGAGAAGGAATGAGAGGAGGAGGAGTGAGCGACGAGGAGGAGGGGGGAGGGTGGGGAGGAGGAAGCGAGACGGAAAGAGGATGAGGAGGAGTGGAGGAGGAGGGATGAGGAGGAGGTGTTGAGGAGAGGAGGAGGAGGAGGAGGACGACGACGAGGCGGAGAAGGGCCATGCGGCGGTGGAGGAGGAGGATGAGGCGGAGGAGGAGGAGGACGAGGGCGAGGACGAAAGGACGCGGGTCTCCGCTGGCCGGCGGATTGCTTGTGGGCCGCTTCGGGGGCGGTGCGGGCGGGCAGTTTTGTTGATAGGTCGCAAGTTTGACGAGGCGGAGGAGGATGCGGAGAAGGAACAGGAACAGGAACAGGAGGAGGAGGAGGAGGAGGAGAAGGACTCGGAGAATCCAGAAGACGAGTACGAGGAGGAACGCGAGGCCCTTGGAAATTGCAATGTCACCGCACGGTCACACGGTCTGTCACCGCACTGTTTCGGGATCCTTAGGAGGAGAATGAGGAGGAGGAGGAGGAACAGAACGACGATGACAAGAGGAGGCGTTCCCCCCAGCCTGGTCATGACTTCACCAGGCCGGTTCGAAAGTCTCCCTTGGTGACCTCCCCCGGCATGTCGCAGTATCACCCAGCCCGCAGGAGAGGTCGGCGCGGGGATCGGTGTTCGTCGTGGAGGTCTCTTTCGTGGAGATCTACGTCGGAGACGGCGATAGGGAGCAGCTCTTCGACCTGTTGGACGACAGCGACAGAAAGAAGCTGGAGGTCAAGCAAGATCCGCTAAGCACGGCGCTCAGTGAGGGAAGGCGGGATGAAGAGGCGCAGGAGAGGAGGAGGAGGAGGAGGTGGAGGAGGAAGAGGAGGAGGAGGAGGAGGAGATGATGACCAGGAGGAGGAGGAGGAGGTGATGATGAGGAGGAGGTGGAGGAGGAGTAGGAGGAGGAAGAGACAGAGGGAGGAGGGGGAGGGAAACGAGGTGACAGAGGGATAAGGAGGCGAGCGATGAGTGGCTTAGCGGAGGGGCCCTTCCTTTACAACTCGTACACGCAGCCAAAGGAGGTGGCAGAGGGTGGAGGGGAAGGAAGAGGAAGAGGGGAGAGGAGGTCGGAGGATACCGGGGAGGAGGAGTGAAGGATGAGGAAGAGGAGGAGGAGGGGACGAGGTTGAATAGAGGGAGTTGGGGAACGGAGGGAGGGCAGGAGGGGGGGTGGGCTCCACTCCCCTCCTCTCCTCCCCCTTTCATCATCCATCATATCATCATCCCCCCTCCTCCTCCTCCCCCCCTCCTCTTCCTCCTCTCCTCCTCCTTCTCCTCCCCTCCTCCTCCTCCTCCTCCTCCTCCTCCTCCTCCTCCTCCTCCCTCTCCTCATTCCCCTCCTTTCCCTCCCCCTCGCCTCCGCGGGCCGCTGCTCAGGCCTCAGGTCCTTCGTCTGCGACGGCTTGCGGAGGGTCCCGGTGGCGAGCGCGGCGGAGCTCTGCCAGGCGATCGGCGCGGGGCGGCGGCGTTGCGCGCTGCTGGACTCCGGCCGTCGTCGCTGGGGTCGGGGGTCGGGGAGGAGGAGGAGGAGGAGGAGGAGGAGGAGGAGGAGGCGACGACGACGACGACGACCACGACGACGAGGAAAAGGAGGAGGAGGAGAGGAGAGGAGGAGGAGGACGACGCCGGGGCGCGACGGTCGCCGTGGTCACTGTTTCCACACCACTAAGCAGGTGAACGGGGGAGAGATGAGGTATGGGAGGTCTCCTCCCTCCTCCTACTCTTCTCCTCCCCCTACTACCTTCCTCCTCCTCCTTCTCCTCCTCCTCCTCCTCCTCCTCCTCTTCCTCCTCCTCCTCCTCCTCCTCCTCCTCCCTCTCCAACCTATGGTAGTGGTGGTGGTGGTGGAAGACAGCCCCATCACGGGGAGGACCTCGAGCTCGGATCCGCCGTACAGCCGAAATCGATGATCAGGATGGGTCCGAAGAAAAAAGAACGGCATAACATAATTTGTTGCGCTTCGCGCGGGTTTCTTCGGTCCGCGCTGGCCCCTCCCCCTGGCGGCGCCTCTGGCGCCGCCCCTGGCGCGCTCCGCGAGCCAGGGAGGGGGGCTCCGCCCTTGACAGGGAAGGAGCACGTGTACACACACAACCCCTGCACTCAGGCGCAAGAGCCTCGCCCTGCCCAACTTAGCCTTAAGAAAAAAAGTCAAAACAAATCGTGAGGGCCAGCAATAGGCTTGACACGAGCCGCCCTTGCTGCTGAAGCCAAGGGTTCGAAGCCACCTTCAGGAGAAGGTAGAGGCACGGCAACACGACGCGCGTCCCAAGCTTCGCGCGCTTGGTAATGCATTGCCAGAATTATCCCGGCAAAGCAACCTAACAGCGATGTGTATAAGCATATCTGGAAGCATTCCCCTTAAGATTCAGGTGAGAATCCAGCTGTAGAATTCTGCTGTTCTCGCAGTCGCAGTCGCATTCGCAATGACAGTCGCAGTGGCAACGGCCTTAGGATCCAATGGAATCCTAAGGATTCCTGAGGATGTTTAACTATGCCTACGGATTCCTAAGGATGCCTACGGATTCCTAAGGATTCCTAGGGATTCCTAAGGATTCTTATGGATTCCTACGGATGCCTCAACCTGCCTCAGTTTCAGCCTCAGCCTCAGCCTGCCTCGGCTCGCCTCAGCCTCAGCCTCAGCCTGCCTCGGCCTCAGCCTCAGCCTGCCTCAGCCTCAGCCTCAGCCTCCTGCTCGGATCAGCCTGCTTCAGCCTAGCCTCAGCCTGCTCAGCCTCTGCGCCTCAGGCCTCAGCCTCAGCTCAGCCTCAGCTCAGCATCAGCCTTCAGCCTCAGCCTTGCCTCGGCTTGCCTCAGCCTCGGCCTCAGCTGCCTCGGCCTGCCTCGGCCTCAGCCTGCCTCGGCCTCAGCCTGCCTCAGCCTCCCCTCCCCCCCCCCCTTTTCCCCCCGATTCAGCCTCACCTTGTCTCAGCTTCGGCCTGCCTCGGCCTCATCCTCAGCCTCAGCCTCAGTCTCAGCCTCAGCCTGTCTCGGCCTGAGCCTGCCTCGGCCTCAGCTTCAGCCTGCCTCAGCCTCAGCCTCAGCCTGTCTCAGCCTCAGCCTGTCTCAGCCTCAGCCTGCCTCAGCATCAGCCTCAGCCTCAGCCTGCCTCGGCTTGCCTCGGCCTCAGCCTCAGCCTCCGCCTGCCTCAGCCTCACCCTCAGCCTGCCTCAGCCTCAGCCTTAGCCTCAGCCTCAGCCTCAGCCTGCCTCGGCCTCAGCCTGCGTCAGCCTCAGCCTCAGCCTGCCTCAGCCTCAGCCTGCCTCAGCCTCAGCCTCAGCCTGCCTCGGCGTGCCTCAGCCTCAGCCTCAGCATGCCTCGGCCTCAGCCTGCCTCGGCCTCAGCCTGCCTCAGCTCGGGCATTCAAAATATGGCACAGGACTTGTGTTCTGGGAACACGAAGATCACGAAGTGGCCCACAGTTGGCTCCGGGCAATCAAAATATGGTGCAGGAATGGTGTTCTGGGAACACGAAGAACACGAAGTGGCCCACAGTTGGCTCCGGGCATTCAAAATTAGCATGGGAATTGTGCTCTGGGAACACGAAGAACACGAAGTGGTCTACAGTTGGCTCCAGGCATTCAAAATGTGGCCTGGGAACGGTGTTTTGGGAAGACGAAGAACACAAAGTGGCCTACAGCTGGCTCCGGGCATTCAAAATGTGGCCTGGGAATGGTGTTCTGGGAGCACGAAGAACACGAAGTGGCCTACAGTTGGCTCCGGGCATTGAAAATGTGGCCTGGGAGTGGTGTTCTGTTGGCTCCGAGCAGTCAAAATGTGGCTCCTGGCAGTGAAAATGGGGAGTCCCCGGTTTTCCCCGGCACCCGTCCGGCATTTGCCCAGACCCCCTTGGGGAGTCATGATGTTTTCTTTTGAGCCCACTAGAAACCTATCAGTCTTCGCTGTTAGGTAAGAAAATGTTATGCTTGACCATTTTGGATAATGGTTTGACTATGTTTTGTCTTTCGTCCAACTTGTTTCCAACAGCATCGGCCAAGGGACGCCAGCATCTTAGTAGCCTTCGAAGCGCCGCGGACGTGCATGAGCTCCCGGCCGATCCAGTTGTCGTTGACCAGGGCGTCTAACGGCATCTTCGGTTTCTTGGCGCACAGGTCAGTGAGGCGCTGCCAACAAACCCACACCAACGCGTTGGCATCTCCCACCCCTGCGCACGGAGGCCTCTCGTCTGCAGGCTGAGAAGCTCCGCCGGGCCTGTCGGCAGCAGGCTGAGAAGCACCGCGTGTGCTCGCCGTTGCTTCCGGTGGTGCTACCACAGGGACTCTACGGGAGTGCAGCAGCCACCGCCACTTTGGGTGCTCCGGATGCTGAACGCTGGACGCGTGCAGCTGTTCGTACGGGATCAAAGGCCACCGTCCAGGAGCTTCTGCACGAGCTCCGGGGACTGCAAGTAGTACACCCCGCGGTGCTTCACCAGGGTCCGCGCGGGTCGCGCATTCGCCTCGCCCTCGGACACGTCGTCCGGTCGCTTGCAGGGCCCGCGCACTGCTCGGATACACGGTCCTCCGGCACTGCGCCAAACAGGCTCAGCTTGTGGCGGTGATCGAGGTAATTTTTCTGCGCACAGACTACGCAGGCTGCCTCGCATCGGTGTACTGCCTCGTTGCCCGAGAAGCGGTTGCCCTTGCTGCCCGGGTGACAGAACTGCTGGAAGTGAGCAAAATTCTGCACCATGGGCCTCTTTTCCTGGGCGGTTATCGGCCTGCAGCCAGCCTCCGCCATCAGGAACAGCACCCGTTTGCGGTATTCCGCCTCGCCCGCGTGGTCTTGCTGCTTGTGCCGCGCAAAGTCTTCCTCTGTAAGAAAGTCGCAGTCGCAGAGCTGGCACACGAGCGGCCCCGTCATGACGGGGCGGCCGGAGAAGACGCGCAGCTGGTCCCCCTCCACCTCGCCGCCGGGAACGTAGCAGCTCTTCCCCGCGGGGGCGGCCGACGCCTTGCGCACCCGCTCCGCGTACCGCTGCGCGAATTCCGTGTGTTGCGCAGAGAGGCTGGACACAAGCTTCTTGTAGGCGGCAAAGCGCCGCAGGATTGCCTTGGTCCTGATGCCATTCTCGTGCATCAGCAGGTCCTGGTCGATCCTGTTCTGCGCCTCCTCAGCGAACCCTTCCATGGGGTTTGGAGGGCCCTCCGCCTCCGCGATGCGAGTCTTTGTTGTGGCTTCGCTCTCCGCTTGCTTGAAGGCCTGGAGCTCGGCGTCCTGCTCCGGGGAGAACTGGTTGGCCTTCCGTGCTTTCCGGACTTTCTCTGCCAGCTGCCGCTCTGCGAGGCTACGCCCGGCATGCTCCTTCGGGTGGCGGCCGAGGTCTCGCACTTGCTGCATGAGCTCCTCGGTCTTGTCTCGCTTTTGCTGCATGAGCTCCTCGGTCTTCTGCTTCCGCTTGAGCTCCTCGGTCTCCGTCTGCTGATCAGCACAGCCCAGGGCCCGCAGTTCATGCAAAATGTCTTTGGGGATGCGGTCGCGATGGTCCGAGAAACGTTTGGCCAACTTGTTTTCGGCCCGTTCTTGTTCGGACGTTCCTTTAATTCGCTTCGGTATCCGGCCGAACTGCTTCACGTGCTCGACGAGCGTTTGCAGAGGACCGCTCAATGCAGCACGCTGAGGAGCAGCGCTGTTCCCTGCCGCAGCCTGAGGAGCACCGCTGTTCAATGCATCAGGGTCAGGAGCACCGCCGCCAGACCGAGAACTATCAGCATGTCCTGGCATTAAGGTGTGCAGTAGGCGCTGCGCAGTTCCTTTGAAAGGAAATCTTCGAAAGCAGGGCTGTAGCCAAGAAGGCTACGGGGACGATGATGATGATGAAGCTGATGAGTTTTGGAAGTCTGGGAAGTGGAAGAGCACGCAGTTGGCTCCGGGCATTCATAATGTGGCCCGGGAGTGGAGTTTTGGGAAGTGGAAGAGCAAGAAGTGGCCTACAGTTGGCTCCGGGCATTGAAAATGTGGCCCGGGAGTGGTGTTCCGGGAGGTCCAAGAGCACGAAGTGGCCTACAGTTGGCTCCGGGCATCCAAAATGTGGCCCGGGAATGGAGTTCTGGCAAGTCGAAGAGCACGAAGTGGCTTACAGTTGGTTCCGGGCATCCAAAATGTGGCCCGGGAATGGAGTTCTGGGAAGTCGAAGAGCACGAAGTGGCCTACAGCTGGGTCCGTGCATTCAAAATGTGGCCCGGGAGTGGAGTTCTGGGAGGTCGAAGAGCACGAAGTCTGCGACTGTTTGCTTAAAACGAGCCCGGCCCTCGCCTGTCTGGCTCCCGCCCAGACCGCCCTGGGGAGTCATCAGATGGTCTTTTTTGACACCACTATAAACCTACAGGTCCTCGCTGTGAGATAAAAAATTATCCCGGCAAAGCAACCTAACAGCGATGTGTAGAAGCATAGCTGGAAACATTGCCTGTGGTATTCATGTAAGAGTGCTGTTGTAGAGTTCTGGTGTTCTTGCAGTCGCATTCGGATTCGCAGTGGCAGTCGC